CATCCCATGCTCATGAATCGGTAGAATGAATATTGTGAAAAGGACCATACTGCCAAAAGCAATCACAAATTCAACACAATTCCCATCCCAAACCATATATCCCAGGTTTAGGCCATGGTATCTCTGAGCCAGAAAAACCTCACACTGAGCACTATCAGTTAACAGAAGTCCTGCTTCCAAATAAAGCAGACCAGGGGCCACCACACATTGGAGGGAAGCCTCCAACAAAAGAGACCAAAACAACAGAAAAAAAGGAATTCATGAGACCAGTCAAAATCAGGAGAAAAACTTAAAAAAAAATCTTAAAATACTCTCAAAAATATAAAATTCAATAAAAAATGTAGAGGATAAAATCACAGAATATCCCAGAAGTGGAATAAAAAGACAAACTGAAAAAAATAGAAGGGAAAAATTAAAAACCAATGTCTGTATAGTGGTCTAAGCAGCCTAGCATCTGAATAACAAGACTATCGATAAAAAAGTAACGGAACATAAAAAAATTCTCAAGAAGAGACAGTCTGCAGGTGTAGTAGCCTCAATAAAATGAGAAGATCCCCACCAAGCTGTGACTGGTTTTTTTTTTTTTTTTGAGATGGAGTCTCATTCTATTGTCCAGGCTGGAGTGCAGTGGAGCAATCTGGGCTCACTGCAACCTCCGCCTCCTTGGTTCAAGTGATTCTCCTGCCTCAGTCTCCCAAGCAGTTGGGACTACAGGCGCACACCACCACTCCTTGTTAGCTTTTGTATTTTTAGTAGAGATGGGGTTTCACTGTATTGGCCAGACTTGTCTCGAACTCCTGTCCTTGTGATCCATCTGCCTCAGCCTCCCAAAGTGCTGGGATTACGGGCATGAGCCACTGTGCCCTGCTCCCACCCAGGTGTTATAAAATTTCAGAACCTAAGAGATAGAGAAGATCCTAAAAAGCTTCCACAGCTACCTAAAACCTGGGTGTAAATAGTGTATCACACACTGGCAATAGATTCAAGAACAACACTGTAATGACAGCACAACTGCAAAACGTCTTCAGAACCATAAAATTTAGATTCAACCTAGAGATGTCCTCTCTATCAAAGAGGAGGGATTTTAAGATTGGCCAGCTCTCTAAACATCTCCACCCAGGAAAATGTGTTGAAGTACAACTAGAGAGGATAACAGGACAGAAGGAAACACAGAATCGGGGACTCAGGTGATTCCACACAAGACAGCAGGTATGTGAGATCCCAAAAGACTTTAAGGAGATAGCACAGAAAAGCAGACATCGAGCATATCTAGGGAAAGCCACTCCATATTGAACTAGGATGACAAAAGGCCAAAGAAAGTTGCCCTCCTACAAAGAAAAAAAGGAACAAATGTGTTTTTACAGACAGAAAATATCTTTGAAAGGCATGTGATAAATGCTACAACACTTAGGGGAAAAACAGCTATTAGAAAGCAGGCAAACAAATAGTCAGAAAACTAACTTCATGCTGAAAAATACTGGATGTGAAAGCAAACAGACCACCCAGAGGCTCCTTACTATATTTGGATGGATAAACTAACATTGGCTAGGAAAAAAGAGAAGATCCAGGAGAATTGCAGAAGTGCTCAGATTTCAGAACTGTTTCAGAGACAGGGTGAAGGACATGTAATGCAGAGGCACAGTGAAAACACCATATGACTTAGCAGTGAATAATATTTGCAGAGTCATAATCATGTAAATATTACTGATTTAATGAAAAAGTGTGCTACAATTGGAAGAAACAGAGGGAGGAACATAAGATCATGGTGTAGCGAGGAAGGTATGCTTTCACCTGCTGTGATAGAAAATCAGTAGACAGTGCTGGCATTAACTTATTCTATTTTTATTTCATTAAAAATAAGATTAAATATTTAAGGCAGTTTTTCTTTTTTTTTGAGACAGAGTTTCACTCTCTCGCCCAGGCTGGAGCGCAATGGCACCATCTCGGCTCACTGCAACCTCTGCCTCCGAGGTTCAAGAGATTCTCCTGCGTCAGCCTCCTGAGCAGCTGAGATTACAGGCATGCACCACCACACCTGGCCAATTTTGTATTTTTGGTAGAGACAGAATTTCACCACGTTGGTCACGGTTGTCTCGAACTCCTGACCTCAGATGATCCGTCCACCTTGGCCTCCTAAAGTGCTGGGATTACAGGCGTGAGCTACCATGCCCAGCCTTAAGGCAGATCTTTTTACCACAACCAGACTATTGAAATGTAACTTAAATATCAGACATCCTTAAAAGGTGGACACACTAAACTAAAGACTTTTCTAGATAAATTTAATACTTAGGAAAATAGAAGAGATTTAGAAAATCCACAAAAAGAGGTCCATGCTACCACCACTGGGTCCACATTGTAATGTAAATAAATCAAGAGAGACAACTTTTATGTTAAACTATCCATTTCTTAACTATTTGACTGTTTACTTACATGGTTTGTACAATTGCTTCTTCTTATTTCTACAACTAAGAATAAAAAAAAAAAACTGGTCACTTCTGATACAAATGCCATAAAATAAAAGTAGTTGTTAACATCTTAGTGATTACTCCTATGTAAAATGAGACAAAATTACATTTAAAAAAACTATTTTCAATAATTTGTAATTTAAATTATCTGGCACGATTAATGTCATAAAGTCAAATCTAAAAACTTAGCTTTTCATCTACGTTACCTTTTGTTTCTATTACATGTAAGTGAAGGAATCCTCATGTACAAAAGAAAAGGGCAAAAAATTTAGGCCAGATGAAAATCTTAGCTAATAAAAAAGTTTAACTGTTGCATATATAAGCTATGATCCATTAGTATTCTCTCATTCTGTATTTACACATAGCTTACTTTAATTATCAGAAGCTAAGAGCTAACAGCTCTAAGAACTACTTCCTGACCAGGCACCTATCTCTAGATGCAACAGAATCCCTGTAAGCATCTTGAACCACACTTAGTGGTTA